GGGACGCGCCCGGGCCGTGGAAGCAGTGGTATTCCCGCGGGGCCGCCTGGCCGCCGGTGCTCGGGGTCTGGATGGAGGGCAGCAGCAGGGGGCCAGGCAGGTAGGTGTAGGTGAGGGGCTGCAGCGGAGGCCAGGCGCCTTCCCCGGGGGCCAGGCAGCTGTAGGAGTACATGGTCGGAAGCGCAGGCGGCAGGCGTGTTTCCTGGGGCCGGTCCTGGTCCAGGCCTGTGGGGAGGTGGATGGATACACGTCGTTCTTATTAACCACCAGTCCCTGGGACCTGCTAGTCAAGGGCTCTGAATCTTGAGGCTGAACTTGCCTCCTGCCTTTAGGGAACCCTGCCCAAGGCGTTGGCTCCCGCCTTACCTCTTGTCCCAGATCGGGTTGGAACCCCACTCTCCCAGCACACAATAGGACCCAACACCTTTTCAAGCCTAGCCCTTAGCCCAGAAATGCTGTTCCACTCACTTACCTCCTTACAACAGCCAGGGCAGTTGGTCCTCACAGGCAGGGGTTCCTCTCCCACTTTTTAGTTGAGCTGCCCCCCTGCAGGCCCTGCCCCAGCCACACCTCCCCGTTTCCAGGCAAAGGGAAACACCTTGAGCTGGTCAGGAGCTAGCCAGCCTGAAGGAGCTGCTGGTTGTACCCACAGTAACCTAGATGCCGAGCCCTGTGCTCCGTGATACCCTCACCACAGCTTGCTCAGACTCACACAGCCAGTTATGATAAGGGGGAAATTCAGCCTCATGTCTGTCTCAAGTCCATGCTGTGGCTACCTCACAGTCCTCCTGCTCGAGAATGTTACATAAAAACTTAGAGCTCTTCATACACACACACACACACACACACACACACACACACATGTTTTTATTGATTTCAAAAAGAAGGGAGTGGGAGAGAGAGATAGAAACATCAACGAGAGAATCATTGATGGCTGCCTCCTACATGACCCCTATTACTGGGGATCCAGCCTGCAGTGCATGTGCCCTGACCAGGAATCCAAGGTGACCTCCTGGTTCATAGGTCAACACTCAACCACTGAGCCACTCCGGCTAGGCAGAACTTCTAGTTCTTAATAATCGTGTGCAGAACATGGTGATATCATTATCATTTAATAGATAAGGAACCAGAAACTCAGAGAAGTTAGGCCATTTCCCAGGTTCACAGTTGGTAGGTAAGTAGCACAGTGATTTGAACCCAGAAGCTAGTTGGGGGAAGCCAGAAAGATTGCTTCCAGTCCTCTCTTGCTTTAGGTCACTACCCTCCACCTTTTTCTTCCCCAGTGGGGTGGATAGTAATCACGGAATGATTAAAATTGGTGCTCTCTCCCAGCTGCTGGGTGGCCAGGCCATCATAATTTCCTTCCGCCTTCTGTTGACTCAGATCGCTCTGGGTGGAGCTTGGGGGGAGGAATTGAGAAAAAGAGAGGGAGAGAGCTCATGGACACCGACAATAGTGTGGTGACTGTGGTGGTGGTGGGGGGAAGAGGAGTGTGGGTAAAGGTGGAGGAGGGGATAGGGTGATAAATGTTGATGGAAAAAAATAAAATAATATATATATTAAAAAATAAAATCACAGAGTTCTTAAAGAAAGAGAGTCTTGAAAATGGAAGGGGGGGGGAAGAAGAGACATATGTAATACTCTGCAATCCTTTAAGCAATAAAAAAAAAGAAAATGGAAACTTGGGGGGACCCTCCCTCCAGCTGTAGAAAGCCCTGGGAAAAAGAGAAAGGGGGCTGAGAAATTGTTAGGTAGGAGGGGAACCTGGGTCAGAGAAGTTGGAAGCCAAGGAAGGAGAGAATGTCAAGGAACGAGAGTGTTTGTGTATCTATCTGTACCAGGATCCAGGAACTCTGATATTCAAGAAGTCAGGCCAGCAATATGGCCTCAGTCACACCCCATGTCCCCTCCTAGTTAGCTCTGTGCTTGGCAACCAGGAAGGGAAATCGGAGATAATTACAAGGTCCAGCCCTGGTGACAACACTGAAGGATGACTGGTTACACGGACTGTGAAACCAGATGGCTGGGAAGCTCAGAGTGTAACCAGGGGCACCAAGTGCAACATAGGGGCCAAAGTCTTTCCTATTATTTCACATTAGCCTGGCCTTTGGCAGTCTTCCCCATTCCCTTGTTCCCCAATTGGACACCCAGGGAGGGCTAAGTAAAGACTCAGGGTTTGCTTTGAATGAAGGCACGTGCTGGCCAGAGATTGAAAGTCAGGGGCACTTCTTTTGTTCATTTACGGAGGCCCTACCGTGCCAGGCTCTGTGCTGACTGTTGGGTTTCTTGTCCTCTATTCTCACCGCCAGGAATGCATAGATGAAGGTAAGGGTAGGGGTGGGGAGAAATGGCCATCTTCCTTCTAGTCACGAGGCTTTCCGGAGCAGGAGGGGTTGCTGCAATTGCTTGAAGTCTAGAAGAGAATGATGTGTGTGTAGGGCTTAGGAGAGACATAGGAGGTAAGAATAGGGTCTGAAGGGGCAGGAGAGAAATGAGACAGGCCGGTGGGAGATGAATTCTGAGGGCAAGGCCTCTGGGATCCGTGGGGACTCCCCAAGGACTGGTTGAACATACTCTAGCCCTTGGACGCCAGGGCTCTTGTGTTGGACCATTTGCTGTGAACGGGCCCTTTACCAGGTTGTCGGGAAAGAGGAAGAGAATGATATTCCTGTTGACAACCATCAACAAAGGCATAAGGACCAAAAGTTTGCAAGACTTGTATGCCCCTGCTGCTCATTTAATGTCCACAAAATCCTCATAAGGCATAATATGGAGGCTTACAAAAGTAGGGTCCCATAACAAAGAAGTAGAGCTAGGGGAAGGGGCCCAGGTCCCCCAGCAGCTGAAGGCCATGCTTGTTGCCCTGTTTCCAGGGAAACAGCAGGTCGTGGGTGTGTGCTGTTTGATTGCCTGGAAACCTAACCAGGCTTACAAGCCTGCTGGGAGAAGACATGGGGCATCCTCACCAGACTAGACTGAGCAAAACAAAACTTTGAGGGCCTGCAGGGGTAAGAAGAGGACAGACTCTTGTTCTGGGATCCAGCTTGTCTGGACCTCTTGCTTACTGTATGAATGTCAGTGAATCTCTTTGAACTTCAGTTTCTTCATCTGTAAAATGGTGATGATAGCACCTGCCTCCAAAGAATGTTGTGAGGACTCAACAAGAGAATGCACATAGAGTTCTTTTTAAAAATATATATTTTATTGATTTTTTACAGAGAGGATAGAGAGTTAGAAACATCATTCAGCTGCCTCCTGCACATGTCCTACTGGGGATGTGCCCACAACCAAGGTACACGGCCTTGACCGGAATCGAACCCGGGACCCTTCAGTCTGCAGGCAGACGCTCTATCCACCGAGCCAAACCGGTGCTGGCCACATAGAGTTCTTGACATGATACAGGGCACATAGTGAGAGCTCATTTCTCCTTATATCTTATTATTACTATTATTAATAGGAGGAGGTTGGGCTGCATGGTAGCTCTCTTAGGGCGTGTGCCCCCAGCTCACGTTGGGTCTGTCTGTTCTTGATGGGCTCACAATCCAGCATTAGGGAGTCCCAGGTCGTGCCACTGCCATCTCCTTATCTGTGTCATCTGTGCATCCAGGCAGACAAGGCTTGCAGGAAGGTGCTGAGCTCTCATTCTCTGAATTAATGCTGAGGAAGGACAGGGGAGTTGATTTAAACGTCATCTGAGTGTAAACCAATCAGGAGGCTTTGGCTAGACATAAATGATAAAGATTTATTTGATGATCTTGGGATTTGCAAATGGGAAATACAACTAGGCAATACCCAGAGTGTTCCCAATAAGAGACAAAAACTGTGAGTTCTTACAGTAAAAAGTACATTCTTGAGAAGAATCAGTCCTGTCCTCTTAGCCTCTGGATTGATCCGGGATGAGAATCACACAGATGTCAGATGGTCCGGACACTCAACATTCTTCCCTAATGTCTGCAGGGGGTCATCTACAGATTTCCATACATACCTCCAGGCATTGTTGCACAACTGAAAGGTTCAAAAGTTTAAGTTCCCAGGGCAATTAAAGCAAGAATAGAATCATTTCCTCATGCCTCAGCCTATTTTGATTTTAGTAATTTAGCCGTTTGACCACAGTGACTCCGTTTTATTTCT